TAGCCCCGGGCCAGGCGAGGGGGCGGCCTGCCGATCTCCACCGTGATGTTGGTGTACATGGGCTGGCGCGAGACCTCCACCAGCCGGTACTGGAGCGAGCTGATCCCATCCCGCTTCATCGTCATTTTGGTGTTCTGGATCTTGGTGAATCTGGTGGGAAATGGGAGTGGGATGAGGGGGGGGGGGACAGGGGTTTGTGGGCGTCCACAGTGGTGAGCAGAGCAGGGGAGATGGTGGCCGGAGGTGGCCCAGTGATCACCCAGTGATCACCCAGTGATCACCCAGTGTCCCAGTCGCCCCAGTCCCAGTGGCTCACTCACCTCTGCGGGTTGGGCTCGTTGTGTTTATCACGCTCGTGCTTGATCATGCGGTACCTCCCGATGCGGATATCGGGCCTCGACACCTTCATGCCATTCAGGGAGATGCTGGGGACCAGGAGCAGGAGAGGAGATCAGTGTGGGGGCACCAGGGTGGGACGTTCCCCAAGCCAGAACCCTCTGGGCTCAGCTCCCAGCCCAGATGAAGCAGGGACAGGTTTAACAAGGCTGTGCCGAGCCAAGCTGAGCAAAGCCAAGACATGGCCAGCTCAGGGCCACAACCAAGGGTGCTGTGTGTCCCACGGCAGAGCCCAAAGCACCGCTCCCACCCGGCTCCAGCAGCTGCAATCAGCTGAGCACACACCATCAGTGCCTCCCATCCATCCATCCCTCCCTTCTCAGTGCCTGCTGTTTACATTCTCCAAATGCCAGTGCCCGAACATTCCCTCGAGGCCCCCCCAAACACATTAAGGGCTGCCTGCATCTCCAAGAGCTCCATGCGCTGCTCGTTCTCCACTATGGATGGAAACCGCAGCCGCGCTACCACGTCCACAGCACCCGCCAGGAGCGCTTTGCTTGCCCGGCCATCGCAGGCCACTTGTGCGTCACCGACCGTGTGCTGCTCCCATGGGCAGCGCCGTGGGGAAACCCACGGGAGATGAGATGGCAGCTGCCGGCACCCAACGTGGGTGTGCACAGGGAGATTGAGCTCCAGCTCTGCACATGGCTGTGCTGCAGCCTGCTGGCTGCTGGGAGAAATGCCACCAGAGCCATGCTTCCAAGTCCTGCATCCCAGCCCTGGACTGGAGCACAATCACAGAACCCCACAATGTGAGGAGCTGGAAGGGCCCTGCAAAGCTGATCCAGTGCAACCCCTGCCACAGCAGGATCACCAGAGCAGGCACACAGGAACACGGCCAGGGCTTTGGGTGTCTCCACACAAGGACACTCCACAACCTCTCTGGGCAGCCTGGGCCATGCTCCAGAACCCTCACACTCACAAACTTTCTCCTCATCTTCAGCTTGAACCTCCTGTGCTCCAGCTTGGGACCATTGCCCCTTGTCCTGCCATTGGCCATCCCAGAGCAGAGCCTGGCTCCTTCCTCCTGACACTGCCCTTTCCCAATGGATCCCCAGGAATGAGGGCACCCCTCAGGCTCCTCTGCTCCAAGCTCCAGAGCCCCAGCTCCCTCAGCCGCTCCTCAGCACGAGATGCTCCACTCCCTCCAGCATCTCTGTGGCCCTGCTGGACTCTTTCAAGCAGTTCCTGTCCTTCTTGACCTGAGGGCCCAGCACTGGACACAAGATTGCAGCTGTGGTGTGAGCAGGGCAGAGCAGAGGGGCAGGAGAACCTCTCTGCCCTCCAACCACCCCTTCTCATCCAGCCCAGGATGGCGTTGGCCTTCTTGGCTCAAGGACACATAGATGGCTCAATGACCCTGTCAGCATAACGCAAACCACAGTGGGAGGAGGCCGGACCCCAGCATGCTGCGAGGACTCAGCCACAAGAAGATGCATGGGTGCCCCATGGCCACCCCAACACCCTGGTAGGGGTCAGTTTGATCCATGAGGGTCACCAACCCACAGGCTGGAGGGTAATTAAATCCCTCCCTGTTATTTGGCACACCTCCCCCAAAACCGGGAGCCCTGGGGCTAGTGAAGGTGCCGGGTTGGTGGGGAGCCCCCAGCCCACCTCAACCAGCCAGCGCTGGCCAGGGGTTGGCACCTACCGGTTAAAAATGTCGTCGTCCTCTCCTCCCCAGCCCCAGTACTCATTGGGAAAGCCATTGATCTTCAGGAACTGGGACTTGCTCAGCCCAGAGACGCCACCGAAGTAGCCGGCATAGGGCAGCCTGCAGGTTGACAGCAAACAGGTCAGCCCCAGGGACAGGCAAGGATGGGGGTTAAGTCCCATGGGCACTCCCAGGGACAAGCACCGGCCCTTCCCCATGTCACCCTCCCACCCAAGGCTCTGTGTCCTCTCCCATCCTATGCCCACAGCTGAAGCCAGCGACCCCACACCCGTCTTAGGTGACAACCGAGGTTGGTGGCCCCTGTATCACCACCCCAGGGCACCCACCTGAACCCAAACTTGTCCATGCCAACCGCAAAGTGCCGCGGCTGCTCGTAGCAGCGATAGAGGTTGCGGTCGTCCATGGGGATGAGGTCAACGTCGCTGAAGATGAAGCAGTCGTACTCCTCGTCGTCCTTGAGCGCCTCCAGGAACCCCACATTGAGCAGCTTGGCCCGGTTGAAGGTGTCCTCGCCAAACTGCAGGGCAGAGCTCAGTCACGTCCGCCTGCCCACCCTGGCCTCACCACCCCCTCGGCCCTGCTCCCCCTCACCTGGTTGATGATGTAGATGCCATAAGCCACCTTCTGCCGGCGCAGGATGGGGTGCAGGTAGTGCAGCCAGTACTTGAGGTGGTGCTCACGATGGCGGAAGGGGATGAGGATGGCCACCTTCTGCCGGGGCAGGCAGTCCGGGGGGGTGTACTTGCCACCCTGGCGCACGTCGGGGTTCTCCCGCTGCACCCGCTCCATGCTCATGGGAGAGCTGAACTCGATGAGCAGGCGCCCGACTGCAAGAGAGGGGGCAGGATGGAACACGGTCAGGGTCATGGTCACCTGCTGCTCCCGGCCAGGCTGGCAGAGCAAACAGCAAAGGGGACCTGCAAGGGGGACCAGCACTGCCGAGGGCAGAGGACGCCCAAAACTTTTCCCAAACAGGGGAAGATAAACTGGGCAAACTGTGAACAAAACCTGAAACCAGCTGTCCCCAGCTCCAGGCTGGGGTTTCTCCACTGCTCCGGCCCTGGAACCGGCA